CTTCTTGGTCTTCTCCAGTAGTTATTGTCAAGAAGAAGACTGATGAGTTTAGGTTCTGTGTGGACTACAGGAAGTTAAAGCAAGTCTCAAAATCTGACTGCTATCCACTGCCTCATATAAGTGATATTTTTAATGCTTTGTCAGGGGCAACCTGTATTGGTACATTACACTTATCCAGTGGATATTAGCGAATACCTATTAAGATGAAAGATCGACATAAAACTGCTTTCATAATGGTTAATGGATTTTATCAAGTTAAAGTGATGCCTTTTGGTCTTAAAAATGCACCTCCCACCTTCCAAAGATTTATGGATAAGGCTTTAGCAGGAGCAACTGAATGTTCCAAGGCTTATATTGATGGTATTATAGTGTTTTCGCCCACATTTGAACAACACTTGACAGACCTTGATCTGGCTTTCTACAACCTACGTACAACTAATATTGCTGTAAAAGTTTCTAAAAGCACATTTTCCCAGTCAGAAGTATCATATTTAGGATTTAAACTTTCTTTTAAAGGAATATGCACAAATGATGACAAAGTAAAAGCTGTTACAGGCTTCCCAGCGCCAAGCAACTGCGAAGATTTAAGAACATTCTTGGGTATGTGTGCCTGGTACAATCAGTTCATTGAAAACTTTGCTACAAGTGCTTAACCTTTATATTAGTTACAAAGGACAAATATCAGGTAGTTATAACCGACCACGTTGCCTTGAAATGTTTAGACAGCTCTGAAATTAAATGGTAGACTGATGCATTGGTCACTAAAATTACAAGACTTAACATTTGAAATACTGCATACAAAAGGAAAAGAACCAGTTCCCTGATGTCATATATAGACTAACCCACACAGCCCCTTCCCAGAAGAAACTTCAGATTTGGACATTAGTTAGCTATCACCTTAACTTTTTGCCTTTGTCAATGTTAACACTATAGAACAACTGGCTACTGAACAAACTAAAGATGATTAATATACTCTTACTTAAAAACTGGATTATTACCAGATGATTCTACAATAATTGCAGAGACTAAGTAAATCTAAACACTATGTCTTGAATGATAATATTCTTTATTACACAAGGTTTGCTAGCAATGGGGAATTTAGACCAGTTATTCCCAAAACATTGAGACTGTTTATCAAATTGCATGAAAATTCTATGGCTGGTCATCTAGGTCTCCAAAAAACAGTGCACAAAATATCGAAATGTGGTTATTGGCATGGTATGAGAAAGGACATTAAAATTATGTGTTATCATGCACTGTTTGCCAAGTCACTAAATTTGATCAGAAACAGCCACCTGGATTTATGCAAAGCACTAAATGAATGGAACCTGGTGAGATAATGGGAGTAGGCATCATGAGACTTTATTCTAAGACTAGGACAGGAAATAGTTATTTGTTGATTGCGACAGACTATTTCAGTAAATGGGTTGAATTATGTCCTCTCACACAATTAACCACGAATGTGATTGTTAAAAAATTAATTAATAAATACTTGTGTAGATATGGTATTCCTAAGACTCTTGTTTCTGATAATGGTCCACATTTGATGGGTGAAACTTGTAAAGCCATTGAAATTAAACATATCTTTACAACTCCATATCATCCTCAGTCTACCATTATTGAAAAAGTAAATAGAAATATTGGTAGAATGATATCTACTTATATTGAAAAAAATCATCGAACTTGGGATAATCCTTTATCTTAATTTTCTCTAGCCATTAAAACTTAAATTCATGTATCTGTAGGTTACACACTAGCCAAACTTCTCTTGGGACATGAGATCTTCCTTCATTGAGACCAACTGATGAAATACCCAACAGCACCTCAAACCATTGATGAATAAACAGCAGAATGACAAGATGTCATACAGAAGACAAAATCCAATGTTTAAAAGGCTCAGAAGATCTTTACATATGCATTTATCTATTTATGAAGTGCTTATTAATTGTCTATTTTTCTTAAAGAGTAATTTTCTCATGTAAATCTGCCACCCCCATTCTAAGTTATTTATTTTTTAAATTGCAGTTTTGTACTTGTATCTATAACTTTCTATTTCACTGATGAAGGATTTACTGCTGCATTTTATATTGAGATTTTGATTTTTTGTTTTGTGATTAACACCTCTTAATCAGTAGTGTGTCAAATTATTATTGGCCTGTGATAATGATGAAGAGTATTTTTTTTACAATTCTTTTGTACCAAGTATATTTTGCATTTGTGTAAATTTTTTCATTTTTATGTGTGTGTGTGAGCTTACATCAGTGAGAAAATGGTTTATTTTTATGGATTGGTTCTGTATTAAAGGGTATTCTTAAAGTCAAGTAAAAAAGTTAATTATGTAATCATTTTTCTTTGTTTAAAGGGTTCATAGTTATTTATTCAATCAGCTTGTTATACTGGTGGTATTCCTGTCCATGAACTCAAACGGGGAGAACCTTACACACAACGATATGAGTTTGGTGTAATCTTCCCTTGGGAAGTGGAGATTATCATGGGACAAGAATACCACCAACATACTGTCCGTGCTATCTTAGCTTCTCTAGTAGTGGAGACTTTAGTAAAAGAACATTACAAAGACATCATGGGCAGATACACGATGTGGTTGACATTCTAGCTATAATACCAACAAGACAAGATGTGCAGCCAACATTAGCGAGACTGAATGGGATACTAGAACACGTAAGTCCATGATAGAAGAAGAGCAAGATGGGAAGATACCATTCCTTGACACTTTGATTTGGAGAAGTGACGAGGGACCAAGGTTCTCCATGTATAGAAAACAAACACTTCTCAGCATATAACAACAAAGTGAAGACAGGTGTGGCATTGAGTTTCTTAATGAAGGCATTATGGAAATTCAGCCCAGAATTTTGAGATCAAGAAAATGAACATATAATGGAAACTTTCAGGAAGCTGCAATATTCTACAGACATGCTTATAAAGGAGAAGATGTGGAACATCACTGAAAGGAGCAGCAACAGCAGACAGGATGAGAGAAACGAAGTTCATATTGGTCCCCAATGACAAGGATGCAAGTCCCATCAACAGACTAATGAGGCACACAATAACAGAGGTGGTAACCAAAACAGAAATATGAAGAGGAGAGATGGTGAAGGTTAAGAAATGGAAACAACCAACAGACAGCAGCATGGTGGTTGCATCAGAATTTATATAGATGAAACTGACAGAGGCCTGACAGCCAGAGTAAACGAGCATAAAGCAATGGATAAAAGATATACATGAACAACAAGAAAATTTGGTCTTACATTAGAGTTGAAGCTTATTTCAGTAATCTGTAATCGAGAGCATACTTTCTTAGTTTTTAGCAATAGTTTTTCATACTATTTTGGTTCTCCACAAAATCATTAATGTTCCTTTCATATTCACACTTTAGAACCCAAAAATATATCAGGCACTAGGACAGAATGACTCAAAACTACTTAAATTTAATTGGCTTTTTAACTAAGCTATAAAATTATTTTAAAAAGCATTCTGTTAGATGCTCAGAGCAGAACAACACGATTGCAAAATCATGCTGAAAGCAATTATACCTGAAGTTCAAACTCACTAAAGTTGGTTGGTTCAATAAAGTAGTTGTATGAGCAATTTACAGTGTATTGGAGTTGAAAGGAAATTTGTACTTTGGCATTTCATATGTTTAGCACCAAACTGCAAGTGAATCAAAAGGATTTGAATTTAATATTACATCCTAGTTATAATTTACAACATATTGAATTAATATTTTATTGTTACTACAGAGGTGAAAAATGTGACATACTAGCCCCTGGTTAGTAGGAATACCCAAACTCAAGTTATACCAGACCAACTTTTTTCACTAAATGACTAACTTGCACATTGAAAATAAAGAATTGCACTAGGTATGGAAGTCATGGTAGTCCGAATTCAAAATTTGGCATCAGACTAGAGCTGGGTAATTAGTGGCACTTGGTAATTCATAAATTGATGGTTTCATTAATAGATTACATTCGATTGTTTAGTATGCCCCTACCCTCATATAAGAAAGCCAAAAAAATGGGTTTGCTGGCTTCATAACATTTTCAACCACTGAATTCTTTTAATATAGTATTAAACTTCCTATTTTCATTCACCTTATTTTTTAAAAGTAATTTTTGAATTACCCTGGTTTGATATAATAAACTCTTCTGACTGACTGTTTTAGAGCAAAGCCACATTAGGCTATCTGCTGTGTTCACTGCAGGAATCAAACCCCTGACTTTAGCATTGTAAGTCTGTAAACGTACCATTGTCCCACTGAGGGAAACTCTTCTGAAGGTTGCCATTGACACATATTGCGATTAAAACATATTTTTTGTCTAAAAAAATGTTTTGCCACAAATTTTTGTGAAAATTAATTTGGACATTTGCTACTTGGCAAATGAACCACCTGTAATTTGTTTTAAGTAAAAGAAATGTCCTCCGTATAAAATTAAAAAAAATATTTTATTTCACAAAATCATTATAAAGGTAGTTAAACATAATACTCTAACATTACATTAATTATCCAATCAACCATTTCAAAAGTTTGACCTAACAGTTTCACCACAGCCTATCTTTAACTTCTATAATCAAGATCAGTCTTTTACATAGTTTGAAAAATCCATGAGGGCTATAAACAGCCCATGGGGACTGATAGCAGAATGATACTACAATTCTTTCTTTACAAAATTGGATAAAAAGTTAATTTGTACTGACTGAATTGTATTGTTTTTCTTTCAACCAAACACAGTTTTACTGGCTTAACTGAAACATGTTCACAATGTGCCATAGAACTATGATGACCTCCAATCAGTGCGACAGCTCTTGTGTCATCAAATGTTCATCAAATGCAATTCAGGTCATGATCATATTTGCTAAAACTCTTCTTGCTAGTCTGAATTTGCTAATAATTAATATCTAGTTTTGTAATTTAAACTTTAAAAGGTGGACTTAGTTTTCTCAGTTACAAATATTTTTATATAACAACATTTTGGATACTCAACAAAACAAAAAACCACATGGGGTTTTTTTTGAATCTATCAAGCCCCATGACAACTCTCTTGACATCACCGCATCTAGAAAAAAGTTCATAAATCTGTTCCTCAGTAGTATAGAATGACAAGTTTCCAATGTATAGAGTACTACTGAGTTTCAAAAGTTTCTCTTGTTCTGCTCGGCTGCCCTAAAACAAAAAAGTTATGAGATACAGTTTAATAACTCAAGCATACAGCATCACAATTTCTTTCTATCCAATAACAGTGTGTCAAATAATAGCTGCTCAATGGTGAAAACTTGAACACTTTTTTGCTTAAAGAAATATTAAAAATGTAGCCCTGTAACTTAATCACCAAGTATAAAAAAAAAAATTACTTGCCAAATTAAATTGCTAGTTCCAAAATATATATTTTGGAAGTATAACTAGCAAGTGAATGTGTAAACAGGAATTTCCACTTGCATTAAGTAATGGCTCATGCAAGTTTAATTTTGTTATTTATACGTCTATCTACTCATTAGTAAATACCTAAAATAAGCTGTAATGTTTCCTGTACGTATATCAAGTCATTTTCACTTACGTAGAATGGCCAGTTTGCTTTCTATCATTTTTCACCTGTAAATAAACATTAACCCTAGAATAAGCTAGTTTCCCAGTATTCATTGTTCATCTAACATATGTCATAGTAATTTGTCTTGGATGCTAAACTCCCTAACGTTACAATAATGGAGTTGTTAAATGGGTTTTCATTGGTCTCATGATGTGGTTAGGGAAAATTTAGGCAGTTATACTGCTGCTATGTTTTTAAAAGTAAATTGATTCTACGACAGTAGTTGAAGCCAAACAGCTAATGTTTGTGAGTATCCTAGGTATATTATTTCTTTACTGCAATTTTATTGTAGGCTGTTTAATATATCTAATTTTATTAATTTTTTAGTTCTTTTTATTATTATTATTTATCACAGAAAACTGTTTTGCATCGTTAACTTAATATATGTTTTTAGGTATAACATAAATTTTCTAAGCTAGCTATTACTGGGATTATGACCAAAAATAATATTACTAGCAAAAGTACCCAACTGATTAAACAATGCATTCTAAGACTTATAAGTAGGAATGTACAAAAAGTACCTATATTCAGTTATACTCATTACCAGGTTGATTTTTTTAGTTTTGTTCTAAGAAATTTTATTAATTAGAACTAACACACAATAAGCCTACTGCCTAAAACAGCATAAAACTAATGCATTCTTGAGTGCAAAAACATTTCAAAATATATCATAAACACATATACTAGTACATAGCCACATACTTGACACCATCTGTGAAATATCCACATATTTACCAATTTTGTTTCAAAATAAATTAAGATAACATTTCTGTGTTTAGTTCCATGATATAATGGTGAAACATTAAAACACTTATTTGTGGATTCACTATGGTTATTGGTGATGATAGGTTTAGAATAGTGATATAAATATGAAATAAATTAAAGAGATCATCACCGTGAAAAAAATCTAAAACTGTCTATATCATTGCTTAGAATCACATGCAAGTTGGTTGACATACAGATGAATAGTTCACAAAAATCTCAATTTGCACTTTCCTCACTGAAAAAGTAAGCAAAAGACAGAAGTTCAAAAATTATCTATATTTATTTGTTTGGGACCTGCTAAGTGTATCTTTGTACCAAATTCCATGTAAATTGATTAAAACAAGGCTAAGTAATTGACCAAAACCCTTAAAATTATGGGTTTAATTAACCTATATACCACCCTAAAATGACCAAAAAGGGGCATATCCTAAATTTTTTATGTATAGAACTTGTGAAGAACATTGTTTTTACCAAATCCCATGTAAATGGGCCAAAATACAGCAGAGTAATTGTCAAAAAAAAACTAAAATTATGCTATAGTTACTAAAAATGGGCAAGTTCACCATTTTTGTTTGTCAATGTGTGGGACATGCAGAAAAGTATCTTTGTACCAAATCCCATGTAAATTGGTCCAAATATGGTCAAATAATTGACCAAAACCCCCAAATTTTTGCTTTTTTTGTCAGCTCTACTCTCCCCCTCTAAAATGCTAAAATTGGGCAAATCCAACTTTTTTGCATGTCAGTGTATTGGGCACATGAAAATTTATATTTGTGCCAATTTTCATCTTGATTGCTGTAAATACAACTGCACAAGAGCCCAAAATATACATTTTTGGGTTGTTTGACCTGTCACTCCATAAAATCCTTAAAACAGCCTAAATAATAAAAAATTTAAAAGGTGCCAGGGCATACTTCACCAAAGTACAACCCTACCAAGTATCAAGTCAATCCGCAGAAAAATAAAGGAATTACAGTTGACTGAAAGGTGTTTGGAAAAAAAAGAAGAAAGAAAAACAGTATGTTTCTGTGCAAAGACATAAATATAACAAAATACTAGACAAGCAACTTGCTATTTAAATATTTTGTATATTGTACGTAATGGGTTTTTAGTTATATTTCATTCACTATAGCTTAAGATGCTAAAGATATGCAAGAAACCAAATTATCAATCAATTCACCACTCATTAACTGAGTTTCACCAATTTTGGGGAAATTCCACCCCTCAACAGTAACCCTGGAAAACGGAAAATTGAAAAAACAAGACTAGGTTTCTTAGTGGTGTACTGTATATTACATGTGTGGTGTTTATATTTATTTAGAGGATTCCTTCCCTCATTAATTTAGCACCAATGCGACATAATCTTAAAATCTTTCATAAACATAGGTTCACTATGGTAAGTAAAAGACAAAACATCATACATAAAATTCACAGAAAGTAGCTTGAATATCATATCAAATGTAAACTTGGAGTAACCAATGTTTTATTCGATAATGATGGAATATGGGAGAATGAAGATGTTTATAAGCTAACGCTTCAAGTTTTTGGAATATCTCATTAGTTTAAGGATCTGATTAATATCTTATTTGTAGTAGTTTTGTGTTAATAATAAGTTGATTTAATAAGACTCCTAAATATTATTAGTAGGGTTAAAAACTTTTAAATTAGGGCTTGGTGGTATAAGTATTACTAATATTATATTAGACTTAGCAAGAGTGCCTTGATTTTACTTGCAATTCAGCTTATTGGTAAATTGTAAAAATAAATTAAATACAGTGTACTATTAAAAAAGATATCTAAAACTAGTAAAGATAAAATAGTGTAATATATTTATTTTTTTAAAACCTTAAATGCAACAGTGTTGTCTACAGGTTACTTGTTTCCCTGACTACAATAGTTAAGAGTAGTGTGTCAAGTATCACAGTTTGTAGGATGTGATGGTTGCAAGAAGTAGGTTTTATTTGGAAACTGGCATGCACTTTTAAGTAAGCTAGTAATGAAGATGCGCAATGTGTTTGTAAAGTTTGGAGGATGGAGGAGAAATTGGAGACTATCCTATATAAATTAGCGGCATAAGATAAAGTGAAATGTAACTATGGAAAATGGCAGCAGGATTTCAACAGGAACTTAACATTTTACATGCAATAGATAGAGTAGTTAATAATGACTTTCAGAAAGTTAGAAATAGTGGATTTAATTTGAAAAGTAGTTATATTAAGTAACAGATTTTGGCCTTTAGTTTGCGTAGATGAGGAACTATTGGAGGGATGGAAAACAAAAGGGACAGAGAAAGATGGGAATAGAAAAAAAACTGTTATAATTACAAGTGATTCTTTGGTATAGCATGTGAATAGTATAGTCTGTAGGGTAAACAGGGAGAAAATAATTAAATTATACTATCCAGGGGGCAGAAATGGAGGACACAACTGACAGAACAAGTGAAAAAGTAAAGGGTACTAGCAGTGATGCAATCTCTGTTGTACATATAGGGGCTAATGATGTAGGAAAGGGCAAGTCAAAGGAGCTGACTAATAAGTATAGATCTATAAAGGGATTTAGATAAAAGGCCATAACTTTTCAGGAAGACTGCCAGGACTTAATTATGGAAATGAAGTAGTAGAAGTAAGGGGAGAACATAAGCATTGGGGAGTCCTGAGGAACAGGTGAACTATGTTCCCTAATTTTTAAAAGCAAACTGATCTCGATTGATTCAGCTCTAAGATCAACAAGGACTGGCAAAATCCCCTTTCGCTTTACTCATGATAGTCCACGAGTAGCGGTCCACTAGAAATATTGCAATATAATATCACCATCCAGAATTGCATCCAGATGGTCTTATGGAACACCTCATCTCGACATAGTCCATTGCAAGCAGCAACCAATATAAAGGTTGCTAGTGCGGAATTTAAATACAAGCATACCCAACTGTGCAACACTCGCCACCGAGTGGGTTCTAAAAAAAAAATCAATAGAGACCCTAGAAGAGAAAGGAACAATAACTGTAAGTAAGATAATACATTACTTGCTACCCTGTTAAAATCTAGTAGAGGTAATTAACATAGTCACAGGGGGCAGACGGAGTGCCTTCGAAGAGGAAACTGCCAGATCATGAAGGTAACAAGATATGAACACGTCGGGAGAAGTCCACCTACCGGCCTGCAAAATATCTCCCAAGAAGAAAGACTGAAATGATTAAGAGAACCAATGGAATGAGGAGTGGAAGAAGGGGCCTTGAAACACGAGGGGGATGAACATGCAGAAGTACAAGTAGAAGTAGAATAGGATCGAGCAGACAAAGACGATAAAGAAGACTGCAAATGTACTGTACCAATTCTGGCTTCTAAAGATTTTGGAATTCCAGCAAATAAATAAGGCTGAAGAAAAGGAGCTTCCCATAAATCTCGAGGGGCAGGAAAAGGTAAGTAAACACACTCCAAATGCATCATGACTCAACAAGTTCCAGCAACAGATGAACCACGACACCAAGGCAAGTCCTAAAGAGGACAAATGTGTCAAAATATTGACCAGTAAATGCTCAGTTCATTGTCAAATTGTTCAGGTGATCAGTGATATGCTTCAGACAAAAGTTGAAGGGAAGAGAAGTATCTTAAAACAGTAGTAATTGCAACCTGTTACGAGAGATAACAGGTTCGTTTCTGGCACCCCATAGATCCAACAACAGATCCAACCTTTGAGTATCTAAATATACATCATCATGATGATGATATACCAGGGCATGTTGTTCAGATAAATGAGGGGGGGGGGGGCATAGCGACACCCTCACATAATTGTGTCGCAAATCTCCCTGCATGCACAGCAACATCAGGAGAAGGAGGAAAACTAAGTAATCCCCTTGATAACAATCAGAAAACAAGTAGGGTAAACCCAAATGGAACTGGTTTCATCTCCAAAAATTCACAAACGTATGTAACTAACTGCAGAAAAAAGGGGCAGAGGTGACTGATCAGATGAGTCCTCAGGAGAGGAAGTTCTAGTGAAAGAAGCAGGAAACAGGGAGTCTAAATTCTTCCTAGAATATCCCGTTTCAGAATGAAAATTCAAATCAGCAGCTCCTGGAGAGATACCCCCGGGCGGCATGAAGGACTCGATCTCATCCTGTATCAGGTCATGGACAGCTTCCACGGAGAGTGATCATTGTTCTATTAGGTTTGGTATTTTACTGTATACAGAGATCAGGAAATATATGTTGGTTACAAATGTTAAAAAAATTGAAGAGATGTGACAAGAATTATCTGTTGCAAGTAGGGCATCTGAATTGGAGACACTGATCATATGTGGAAAAAAAAATTTAAATGATTTTTTTAAAATGTTTTCAAGATAGTTATGTTTCTTAGAGAAAAAAAGGGTGGTTTCAAGTAAAACACCAGATTGGCTCACATATGAAACAAAGGATAAAATTAAAAAAAAACATAAAAAATTCAAAATTTAAATTGATTTGTAGGATTACATATCAAGAGAACTGGTCAAACAGTAAATTAAGAAAACTAAAAGAGCGTATGAAAAACAAATTTTGGCAGAGTATGTAGAAATTAATAGAAATAATTTCTTTAAATACATTAATGGTAAACAAAATGACAGGATGGAATTAGGGCCATTGAGAGATGATAAAAAAACAAACTTATATCTGATAATTATGGGATGGCTGAACTATTAAATTCTACTTTTTGAATTTCTAATAATGAAGATTTAAGCGATATTCCTCATCCCGAACAGTTGTTAGATGGAAACAAGATTGAACAAGATGATCATATTAATTCTGAACTTATTATAAAAAAAATTGGTAAGTACAAAATATGACAACTTCTCTGAGCCAGATAATATTTCTCCAAGGGTTTTAAAGGAGATTAATTTCCTACTTCCTACTATTTTTTGTAAGTCCTTGAATAGTGGGCAAATGCCAGAGGAAGTTGGCTAATGTTACTCCTTTTTTCAATGAAGGTGTTAAAATTGTCTCAGTAAATACAGGCCTATTAATCTTATGCAAGTGGTGGGAAAAGTCTTGAAAGTGTAGTAAAAAAATGCATTACTAAGTTATTTAGCTCACTGTACATGGGCTTAGTCATTTTGACCATGAAATTATATATAACTATATATGTATCTTAATAAAATTTGGCAAGCTTTTAGCAAAGTTTACATTCTATTATACATACAAAATTAGATCATTTGATGAAGTATTTCTAATAAAGATTTGTTTGTGTACTTATGAAGTCTTTGCTAAGTCATGTAACGTGAAAGACGATTTTCAGGCTAAGAGTAAAAATACTTCTCATTAAACACTTTTCTCATTTGATTTGCATAGCCTCTAAAACATCCTAAATGAGCATTAAGTTTTTCAAAAACTTCAAATTTTATCTAATTTTCTCAACCCTAACACTAACTATAGCAAGATCAAATGAAAAATGTGAAATAAAATCAATAACTTTTTCCAAGAATGACTGCAGATTATAACAGACTATTACAATTATTTATCATAACAGTCTCAGCTATCAAACCTTTCCATATCTGCTTGTTTTTAAATCTATTGCTTTACAATGCCCTTCATACCCTATCTAAGTATGTGATAGGCAATTAATAGTGGGTAACTTGGTGTAAACAACCAATCAGGTTACAATCACATGATGCAGTTTTCTAAATTTGGTCTTGTAAAATTTCTTTTTATTTAACTTTTTGTTATCTAAACTAGCAAGTTTCTAATTTTGAATTTTTGTTTTTCTTAATATATAACAATACATAAAAGATATACATTAAAAAAAAAAATTTGGTCTTGCATTAGAGTTGAAGCTTAGTTCAGTAATTTGTATTCAAGAGCATACTTTCTTAGTTTTTAGCACTAGTTTTCCATACTATTTTGGTTCTCCACAAAATCATTAATGTTCCTTTCATATACACACTTTAAACCCAAAAAATATATCAGACACTAGAACAGAATGTCTCAAAACTACTACAATTTAATTGGCTTTTTAACTAAGCTATAAAATTATTTTAAAAAGCATTCTGTTAGATGCTCAGAGCAGAACAACACAATCACAAAATCATGCTGAAAGCTGTTACACCTGAAGTTCAAAACTCACTAAAGTTGGTTGGTTCAAATTTACAGTGTCTTCCTTATAAAATAAAAAAAAAATATATTTCACAAAATCATTATAAAGGTAGTTAAACATAATACTCTAACATTACATTAATTATCCAATCAACCATTTCAAAAGTTTGACCTAACAGTTTCATCACAGCCTATCTTTAACTTCTTTAATCAAAATCAGTCTTTTACATAGTTTGAAAAATGCATGAGGGCTATAAACAGCCCATGGGGACTGATAGCAGAATGATGCTACAATTCTTTCTTTACAAAATTGGACAAAAAGTTAATTTGTACTGACTGAATTGTATTGTTTTCTTTCAACCAAACACAGTTTTACTGGCTAAACTGAAACATGTTCACAATGTGCCATAGAACTATGATGACCTCCAATCAGTGCAACAGCTCTTGTGTCATCAAATGCAATCAAATGTTCATCAAATGCAATTCAGGTCATGATCATATTTGCTAAAACTCTTCTTGCTAGTCTGAATTTGCTAATAATTAATATCTAGTTTTGTAATTTAAACTTTAAAACGTGGACTTAGTTTCTCAGTTACAAATATTTTTATATAACAACAGTTTAAAAATGTCATAGTACTGCACATGTAACATCACTAATCTAGGCCAATTAAGATTAAAGT